AAACGATAGGTGCATTCCCGCCACCTACTGGGCTGGAGTGTGGACCATTGATGGAATAGGAAGAACTAAAAAAAATAAAAAATTGTATATAGTAATAATAGAAAAAATTTAAAGTCCCTGTAAAGGCAATATTAAATATGTGTTCTGAGTTTGTCACACCACAGAAAAATGTATTATTAACCACAAATTTGAATGATGAAAAAATCCGCCAAGTAAATAAAATAAGTGATCAAAATCTTGAAAAAATGGGAGTATCCTCCATCCACCTGATAGCTAATAATATTGCTACCATCTCTGTAGTGTAAACTCCTACTTGATCAGAAACTCTTTTACCAATCTTGATTTGATAAGTTGGGACAAATACAGCTGCTGATGCTCGTCCTGTCTCGTGATCTTTGGAACCATCAGTGAAAATTGAGAATGCGGAGTTGTAATTCTGTTCTAGATACAGCACAGCGTTACTCTTATGTGTTGGCGTAATTTCAACTGAAACAGGAGGACAGGGCGGGGCATATCAAGAAGCCCCACCCCCTTTTAAAATAGCCAATAGCGTTTAGTTTATATCACAGCTTGGGCCAGAGCCGTTGACCTGGTAAAATCTTATTTGAGAGATTATGACAGCCACAGTCTAACAGATTACCCTTTTAGATTCAATATGAAACTGTTTCTGAAGCAAAACAGTGATTATAATGATGCTGAGGATGTGTAGTTTGAAAACTGTCATTTATGTTGGTGCAGGGCACTGGTGCTATCTCTTCTATTCGTTAGTGCTCTTTGTCTAACCGTTTATCCTCCTAATCTCATCAATGTCGCTATAAAATATAGCATTCTGTGTAGAATTCTAATGGATCCGATACGTTTTGTGGTCTGTGCTGACTCGCGCATATGATCCGCTGGACCGGAGCAGACTGTGTGCGCAATGCGCCGGTTCGTGTGACACAACGCGAAACCAGACTTCTTTCGCCCCAGTGGAAAGCATATTTCAGGGCTCTCAATTCTCACAAATTCACCGTGAGACACACACATTTCAACCAAAGCCACTAGAAGTCAAGCCTGCAACCTTTAGCCAAAAAAAGCATAACAGCTAATGCTAACACTTCCGGTTTGCCAGTACGTGGGAAAGGAGAGGCCGTTTTTTTTTTTTTTTGAATGTA